CTCAGATGTCTATCTCCACAACCGCCAGCTGAGGGTTGAAAAGGCCAAGGGACGACGGACCTGCGTGCTTGGTCTCCGTTCAGGCGCCCCCATCACCGAGGAGCTGCTCTTCGAAGCCATCAACAAACGAGGCCCAATCGAGGCATATGCATTCCAGCATGAAATGGCCTTCACGGCCTGGGGCGAATGCTATTCGACAATAACGTGCATCGTCACGTTTGCCTATGTGCAGGACTGCCTCGAGGCTATCCAGGTGAGACGCCCTTCGTCTTGTGAGTGAACACCCCAGTTAACAGCAACCAGCATTTCGAAAACTGTGTCAAATTCTATATGCACCTGGAGCCGGTGACCGGAAGCCCCCTGCTCTCCCAGACGTCGAGTCCCAACAGCGGCTCCAGCAAGATGGACTCGGGCGTAGTCGCTGTCAAGGTCAACTGGCGCTCGTCGCAGTCTCAATCTCCGAACGGGACAACACCCTCTAAATCGACTCCATCGACTCGTTCCACTCTCTCCACGACGGCCTCATCGGACACGTGGGACTGCGAGGTGTGGAGATATCCGAAAGCTCCCCTTACACCCGATCAACAGAGAAAAACTAGACCCAGGAGTCCGAGTCAGCCACCGAAAGTCGTTGAAGAAGGCATTGATGAGAACGATAACAAGATTCCCATTCGGAGAATGAGACCCGTTTGCGCCAGACTCAAGAGATCTTACAGCATCTGATTGAAGAGGGAAATACTAGACTGATATATCGATGATACCAAAGAGATTTTTTACCGTTTTCGTGAGGTGTCGTCTGCATCGAAAGATTTCTGTTCTGGTATAAAATTGAACTCATGTGTATTGTGAATTAGTGTCACTCCTTTTGTGTCAATAATTAATATTATCCGCAACGAAAAAAAAACGGTTAATTCCATTAGTGAGTATCCATAACAAATAGAAATCTATCCTAGTATATAACAGTGTTACACTACTTGTCTTAGTTTGGAATCAATTAACCTTTTGATCTGGATTGACCTGGATGCTGCCTCTATTGCCCCAGCTCCTGCAAAAGAAATCCCTGACAAGGTTGGCCGTCCTCCCGCGTTCCAGGAGCATCCTACTAACAAAGAGTGAACTCCTTTTATTTCCAGCAAGTTTCCAATGGCACATATGAAACGAAAACAGGAAAGCGACGGTGGAATTTCAGGAATGTTGCTACTATTCCGTGTCCTATTTCAAACGGTTAGGTGAAAGAAGTCCCGACAACGACCAGTATTAATGCTTACCAAACTATTTTTTTAGTCCAGACTTCAGACACCGGCAGAGCGGACCCCAGCGTTTAATTATTGACAGGAACATGCCTAAGTCGGTACTTACTGTATCTCAAACGGCAGACACCCTGGCGCTTCCTCTAACGCTTCGTGTTTAGACTAATCAACTTTATTTAGTTGCAGCTGTCTCGAATCCAATCTGCTGAAAGGGGTAGCTGGCAAGTTACCTAGGTAGGAAAGTCTCATACGAGAACTAAGGCAGAGCTCGAACTAGAGCCCAGTTAGTGTGCTGCAATAGATTCTAGTTACTTTGTGCTTTTCAGATGACTCCTGTCACAAGCACGACCAAGTCGCACCACAAGAGTAGAATCCGGGGTTAGTGGCTGATACTATCGAGAATACGGATCTCCCGTGGAGCGATGTTAGCTTGTCAGAACTTGCGCCCAGGTAGAACGCACGGAAAGATCCCAAACGACGGCTAATAAATCGAGAAGACTCGGGCAATATCGAGTTACGAATCTTTCGCGTCAGCCTGTGCTCTGCGAGAATGACTTGTATGGGATTACCATGAAATTCTCTTTCCTGACTGTCGTCCCGGCAAAGAACGCTCGAGAGCATCAATCTTTATTTTCTTTTGTCTATTGAAAGGTGTGTCAGCTAATCCAGATCCGATCGACTCTCTAAACGAGGTGCAGTTGCAGGATGAGACAGCTGACAGCCGATCTGAAACGCCTCATGCCTCAGCCGCTCCATTCTACCAATTCGGGATACAAAGCTACTCGATTTGGAATTCGAAACGCCTGGCAGCGCTTTGATGCTTTAAATTTAGGTATGAATTAGTGAGTCTGACGGTCTAAGCCCCAGACCGTGGCGAAAGCTGCTGGGTCGGATGTCTCGATTGGTAGGTGCTACAGGGACTTGATGCTTAGTACTGTACAACATACTCCATGCTCTCCAGATCTGAAGGCTAATTCTCCAAGATAGGATTAAGCTACTGACACCAACCGTATGAAACTGAAAGGAATGTTTGATTTTGGGTAGGTGTTTGACCTGCCTTCGCACAGACAATGAAATCTACTCCTGGACATCTTGACGCCTAGGTTGAAAGTATAAGAACCCGTCAAAGTACGCATGAATGAAGACATTTCTCAAGCAGGTCTCCAGCTTATTTCTCGCAATCCATCCGCAGGCGTTTCTGTTTCTTTCCATTCAACATTGACTGTTTGATACAGTCTTTTTTTGTATTACTCAATTGAGGTCTTCATACTCATCTCCATCCACAGAACAGTCCATACTCTCATTCTACTCTACCTTCATATCATCATGCACTTCCACGCCGTTCTCTCGTCCGCCCTCCTTGCTGCCACCGTAGTCTCCGCCAAAACGATCAACATCAAAGTCGGCGCCGATGGCCTCACATTCACGCCCAACTCGACCACCGCGGACGTTGGCGACAAGGTCGTCTTCACCTTCTACCCGCAGGACCACAACGTCGTGCAGGCGTCCTTTGCCGAGCCCTGCAAGCCCTTGGCCGGCGGCTTCTACTCGGGCTTCCAGAAAACGTCGAGCGGGCCCGCGGAGAAGGCGTTTGTTCTGACGATCAACGACACCAGCCCGATATGGTACTACTGCGGTCAGGCCAAGCATTGTGAGAGCGGGATGGTGGGCGTTATTAATCCTGCGTGAGTAGCCCCGGCATCACATTATCATTCCGGTTCGTGGACGCAGTGCTGATAGGTGCGAACAGCTCGACTGGAAACAAGACACTGGAAGCATTCGCCGCTGCTGCCAAGGAGGTCAGCAAGAGCGAGAACCCGACGAGCGAGCCCGGCACCGGTGGTGTACTTGAGGACGTCTCTTCTGCCAACTCCACCAGCGGCAGCTCGTCCAGCACGGGCTCTGCGTCCGGCTCGACGTCGACGTCGACGTCGACGTCCATGTCAGCGGCGTCTTCCATCGTAAAGAGCCCGATTGTGGCCGTTGTGGCTGCTGTTGCAGGTGCAGCTGCTTGGATTCTGTGATTTGGTAGTGGACTGGAGTATGAATGTTGCGCTTGTTATCATGCCATGCATGTCGATCATGCATCTCTGGTAGATGCAATACAATACGTTGCGGTCTGTTGGATGGATGGAAGCTTTTTTGCATTTTTGGATCCGTTATACGAATGCTAAACTACGTTGGCATGCTGTCTGTATTTGTACTGAGTCGCGTTTATATATCTTTTGGATATGTCACAACATAAATGCATTTGCATTAAGCTTTGCTCTTTTTTTTTTAAAAAAAAAATGCATCGCAATTAAAGAAAATAAATGTCTCATCTGAATATCAGCAATATTTTATTATCATCATAAAAGAATGCTGGTAAATGGATTTTTAAACTACGTGGTGCCTAGAATACTGACTTCGTGATGGTCACGGGATGGGATGGAATGGATGGAGAATTAACCGTTGAACCTCGGCTGCTGAACTCCAACCCAAATCAAATCAAATACGAGACAGACTGCATCTATCATCAGACATACTAGCCTCGTAAATACAGCTATCTATCGTCTCTTTCTTTCAGTTGAGCAGCTGTGTTTATTTTCGAGAAGTTCGCTGTTTGTTAGTATAGTGCATGTAGCCCTGACATTTGATACATGCACCTGACTGGTCTATTTAGATATATGCTTGAACCATCCAAGTGAGCAATGAGCACCAAATCCCCACGCTCACACACCGGTATACTTGCGTCATCCGACCCCGAGCCCGACGCAGTACAAGTCCGCAAAACACCCGAGGGAATCACCACCATCACGCTCAACCGGCCGCATCGACGCAATGCCGTCGACGGCCCGACAGCCCGGAAGCTGACAGCTGCATTCCTAGACTTTGAAAACGACGAGACGCAAAAAGTGTGCGTCTTCCATGGTGCAAATGGCACGTTCTGCGCGGGCGCGGACCTGCAGGAGGTCGCCAAGTCAGATCCAAAGAAGCAAGAGAACGGCAGCAGCACCCAGCGCAGTAATTACCTCCTCCCCGTCAACGGCCGGGAGAATATCGCTCCCATGGGCCCGTCGCGTCTGCTGATCCGCAAACCGGTCATCTGTGCGGTGGCCGGGCACGCGGTCGCCGGCGGCCTCGAGCTCAGCCTGCTCGGAGACCTGCGCGTGGTCGAGGAGGATGCCGTCTTCGGGGTCTTCTGTCGACGGTTCGGCGTACCGCTGATCGACGGTGGCACGGTGCGGCTGCAGCGCGTAATCGGGCTCGGACGAGCGCTGGACATGATCCTGACGGGGCGAGCGGTCACGGCGCAGGAGGCGCTGGTCATGGGGTTGGCCAACAGGGTCGTGCCCAAGGGCAAGGCGCTGGAAGAAGCGACCAAGATTGCCCGACAGCTGCTGGCGTTTCCGCAGGGCTGCATGAACGCGGATCGCGACTCGTGCTACTATGCGGCATATCGGGCGACGTCGATGGAGGATGCGCTTGCGTATGAGTTTCGCAATGGCGTGCCCATTGTCGAGAGGGAGAGTCTCCAGGGTGCGGCGAGGTTTAGTGCTGGGGCAGGACGGCATGGGCGGTTCGACTCGAAGTTGTGAGATGGCTGACAGTTCTCATGGCGCGTCTTATCGATATAGAATGCATGACCACAAATGGAGGACTTCCACCGGATCTAGCACGATTGTGCTGATGTAGTATTCAAACTTCCAGTTGGTCGAAATGAATCAAGTCGTTGGAGAGGTCAGTCAGGCATCTCTGTGGATAAATAAGAGCCAGAAAGGGAAGAATGAAAGGGGAGAAAAGAACGACTCGTCGGCTCTGCCTATGTGCAGTACATACATATCTCCCAAAGAATAAAAATTCATAGCATGACAAAGCAGGCGTTGACAACACCATATACTACAGGTATGTACCAGCTAATTCATTACACACTCTCTGTCTTGTTTTATTATCCTCGTGTATGGTTAGAATTCTTTTATACAATATCACTGACATGTTGTGTGCTTCTTTTTCTCATGGAAATTTGGTGCTTGTATAATGTCATCATGATATAACTCTTAACAGTATAATTGCATATATAAAACCTATATATAGGTTTAGAGGCAGTAGTAGGGACAGTACCAATGCTAGGATATTCATCTAGCAGACAGTGAGTACCGTGATTCTCGTGACTCGAGTCGGATGCCTCCTCCCACTATATCGGAACGAGGACATTTCGTCCTCCATTCTTGCTTTAGGCATGGCGGGGATTAGACTGCTCCGTATGTAGGGATGTTCCTGCAGAGACTTAACGTCACGTCAAGGATTCGCATACGAATAAATATCCAGCATCGGATGCAGAACGTGCCTGCTACAAGCACTCTGGGTGCATAGTCTAGCAAATCACACCCCTTCCAATTCCTCCTCCCTCTTCACTCACTCTGTGGGGTTGCTTGCTGGCCGTGTGCGGAGAACCCCACAAAAACAGCCAAATATTTCCGTCCGGTGAGAGTTGGACTGTGGAGTTGGATGGAGACGCTCTCTCTCCCGGCTTTTCCCCGCGGGGAAAACGGAGGGGAGGAAGGACGGTGACAGTCCCAAGAGCGACAGGCTAGCTGCGAGGTAGATCAGTAATACGCCTGATTGATCGATTGATTGATGAATCCTTCGGATAGAGTCAAATTGTTGGGGTGCATTTTCCGAAGGCTGTCTCTCTCTCACCACCCCCTCTGTCTCCCGTTTACCCTAGGTTATGCAATGACGCCCTGCCCTGTTTGGGTTTAGATATCGGGTACTGTACTGCCCTAGCCCTCGTTCGAAGGGCCCTGTCTAGTACCAATGCTGGCAGTAGCCATCGGATAGTGTACAGGGCGTACCTGGTAGCTCTGCAGCAAGCTCCGCCATTGATTGGCAGCTGAGCTGCTATCCTGGTTCTATATCCAGCGAGCTATGTTATATTATCCTACCTGCCTGCTTGCCTGCCTGTATCGATCTATTTATCTGCCATTCATTGATCAGTTGGTTTTAAGATTGACTGACTACCTGCAAGAGGGCTCGTCGCAATTGTTGCTTGCGAGTCACGAATTCTTCTCTTCTCTCTCTCCTCTTGCCAGGAGCTTGCTTGCTTTTATCTGCTATCTATCTGCTTGTATATTACGATAGATAACCCTGTCTCCCCCTCAATTCCATCCTCATCCATTTCTCTCCGCTACTTTCTCTGGTTCTGTCATTGGGACATTCGTATATACAGCAGACAGACAGAGCAAGCAATGGCACTCGTATCCACCTTATCCTCCTCCCTCTCCTCAGCAGACATCTCCCCCCTCCTGCATACCTACTACGCCACCCTCCTAATCGTCCTGGGCATACTCCTCCGCCTGATCACCAACCGCTACAAGCGCGGCCTCTCCAACATCCCCGGCCCGACCCTCGCCAAGTACACCCGTCTGTGGAAGCTGTACGATGTCTGGAAGGGCGATTCCCACAATACGTCCATCCGGCTGCATCGTCAGTACGGCAATCTCGTCCGCATTGGACCGAAGCATATCTCTGTCGGCGATCCGAAGGCGGTGCCCATCATTTATGGGCTAAATAAGGGCTTTACCAAGGTAAAATGCACCCGAGATAATTGGCTCTGGAAAAGATTGATTTGCTGACTTGCTACTTCTTATAGACAGCCTTCTACCCCATCCAGTGCATCTCCTGGAACAAGAAACCCCAGATGAACCTCTTCTCCACCCGCGACGAGGCCTTCCACCGCAGCCAGAAGAAGCCCGTCGCCAACGCGTACAGCATGACCTCGCTCCTCGAGCTCGAGCCCGCCGTCGACTCGTGCACCGACATCTTCCTCTCCCAGCTGCGCCGGTTCGCCGCCGACAAGAAGCCCGTCGACCTCGGCATCTGGCTGCAGTACTACGCCTTCGACGTCGTCGGCGAGTTCTCCTTCGCCAAGAAGCTCGGCTTCCTCGAGCAGGGCACCGACGTCGACGGCATGATCAAGGCCATCGAGGGCATGCTCGTCTACGCCTCGCTCTGCGGCCAGATCCCCGAGGCGCACCCGTTCCTCCTCGGCAACCCGCTCTTCCCCTACCTGCTCCCCAGCATGGAGACGTGGAACCAGGTCCTGCAGTTCACCCTCAAGGCCGTCAACTCGCGCAACAAGTCTCTCCAGCGCGACGGCGAGCTGCAGACCAAGAAGAACGCCAACGGTGAGTTCGACGAGACCCAAAACGGCAAGGACATGCTCTCGCGCTGGTCGACCATCCACGAGCTCGAGCCCGACAAAATGTCGACGCGCGACGTCATCGTGCACCTCTCGACCAACGTCTTCGCCGGGTCCGACACCACCGCCATCGCCATGCGCGCCATCTTCTACTTCCTCCTCCGCAACCCGGACAAGCTGGCCAAGGTGCGCGCCGAGCTCGACGCCGCCGACCGCGCCGGCAAGCTGGGCGAGTTCATCGCCTACCGCGAGACGACGACGCATCTGCCGTACCTGTGCGCGGTCATCAAGGAGGCGATGCGCCTGCACCCGTCCGTCGGCCTGATCCTGGAGCGCCACGTGCCCAAGGGCGGCGCGACCATCTGCGGGCAGCACATCCCCGAGGGCACGGTCGTGGGCATCAACGCGTGGGTGCTGCACCACGACCCGAGGGTCTACCCGGACCCGGACGCCTTCATCCCCGAGCGCTGGCTCGAGTCGTCCCCGGAGAAGCTGAAGGAGATGGAGCAGAGCTTCTTCGTCTTCGGCGCGGGGTCCCGCACCTGCATCGGCAAGAACATCTCGCTGATGGAGATGCACAAGATCGTGCCGCAGCTGCTGCGCGAGTTTGACATCCGCCTGCACGACCCCAAGAAGGAGTGGAAGACGCGGAATGTCTGGTTTGTGCAGCAGGAGGGGTTGGTTGTGGATTTGGTGAGGAGAGTGAGGTAAACAAGCAGATAGATAGATAACAAGTGGATGAAAGACTGGATTGATATATACCCCGAAGATGCAGATTGTCATGTGGGAGGTTTTCTGATTCAACAGCTGATTTGGTTAGCATGTTGTTTTCTCTTTTGATGATGAATAGGATAGGAATGGAATCACATCACATCATAAGCCGACTGTTGACCCGGAGTAGAGTACACCAATGTGTATCTTCTGTAGTGAATTGATTCGGAAGAATCCGTCCAACGTAGAGTTCACACTGCGATTAAGGGCATGCTTGATCCAACACAATATACTGTACATGAAAAATAAATATAGAATAGATGCATATCATGGACAATGCCACGCAGGCATGAGACACAAATAGTGTTAAAACACAGCGAGAATGATATAATAGACTGGAAGAGAAATGAGCAGATCCTCTAAGCCGCAAGTCGACCTGATGCTCAGATCTGGTGCTCATTGAGGATCCAAGACAGCCGCTGTATACCATGTTGTCACCACTTCTTCCCCAGAGTCTCTGTCATCAACTTCAGCCGTTCCGACAAGGTCAGTCCCGGGGCAAACCACGGGTTGTCCAGCTCCTCCACCTTCGTCGGCGTCGCGTGTCCCCAAATCCGCCACTCCTCCTCTTCCCCCATCCACATGATCCGCTGCAGGACGATGTACTCGGTGCAGTCCTGCTCCTTGACCTTCGGCGGCCCCGTAGGCTCAGCTTCCTTGCTCCCGCGCTTGAGAGTCACGGGAACCGTGCCCGTCGATTGACGGCTGGTTATCCGCACCACCACCTGTCGGATACCGGACTTGGGCATCTCGGGGATCTGCGTCGCACGGTCAGACACGACCCGAACGCCTGTAAAGAACGTCGATGGCGACCGGATGTATTTGTCGAGCGACCAGGTGACTCTCTCGTTGCTGGGGCGCTTGGCAATGCGAGCGCTGAGGCTGTTGGCCAGGCCGGTACAGCAGATCTTTCGCAAGGTATGGACATCACCCCTACGCGTGTCAGCAGGACACACAATCAATCTATCTTCATGCCAATGCAAGACGGGACAGACATACGCTGCGAACGCGGTGTACATCTTCTGGTGGAGCTCACGGGCCACCTTTCTTCTCTCTCTGAAACGGAGTGGTAGCCCCTTGTTGAAATATTTGCTATACGCAAGAACCCTATATAATTCTCGTCAGCGCTGTGTGCATCAGACTCTCCAACGGGCAATGTACTCACCCCATGAGATTTTGAGCCCACATCTTCAACGACAGCCACTCCATGCGCAATCGCTCCCGCGGCTGATGGAAGATCGAAGGCATGTCCCGCCACAACGGCCGGATGAACGTCCCCGGGAGGAGGCCGATATCTTGAGGCAGACTTTCCCTAGGAATGTCTCTGGTCCGACTCCGCGTGCTTGGCGATTCTGGCGGCCTCATTGTCACCGTCTGAGCGATTCCCTTGGCGCGGGGAGCCAGGCTCTGAGAGAATGGCCGGCATTGGCATGAGGGTGCAGCGAGCGAGATGAATTGAGGGAAACGGGGTGCCGAACGAGTGACCGTCCGGGAGAGCCCTGACGAGAAACCGATGGCCGACGCCATATTGACTGCGTCCATCCGAAGGACCGCAGGGTGGATGCCTTGCAGCAATTGACAGGCGGCTGCTCGCTGTCTTCGACTTCCTTTTTCTCGAAAGTTGACGGTTGCGCTGCAGAATTGCACGTGATTGGCTCACCGCCTTCCTGGATGACAGCCAATCGACACCGCTCTAATTGACGCTTGCTCTCACCTTGTTGTTTGACAGCTGTACTGTACCATGGCAGCATACTCGAGTGTCGTGTGCTGTGGAAGCCAGAGGTGCAGAGATGGTATTATTCTCTACAAGATCGTGATTCCAAAACCTCCAACAAAGTGATGGAGTCATGCTTACAGTTCTAGACATGCTTCTATCTAGGCCAAGGAACATCAGCTAGCTCATTCTTGACCTGGAGAGTGGAATGACAGAAGTTGAATTGGACAATGTGACGTATCTCGAGTCCCAATGTACTTTATGCAATCAATAGACCGAATAGTAGTACAGTACATGCACCTGTATACTCTACACCGACACTGACAATGGCAAACCGTCCGAACTGTCCAAGATAACCGACCATCGAAAGAATGTAGATGGCTAAAAATAGTCATGAGTTATCGTAGGCATGCATTTCCTATGATAAATGAGGCATCTATCGCAATTCATGATTGTTGCCCTTGCTGGAGGCCGTCCATTATCGTTGATAATAAAATGGCTCCACTTCGCCAAACTTAGCTACCTGTCCCTCGGCGTTTCAGCGTCATCTCATGAAAGCACTCCTCATCTCCTCCTGATTTCAGTCAAAAACAATAATAATTAATCCTTGAGCCATCTCTCCTCTCCACGAGTTTCACCATCTACGCCTGAACCTGTTGATCCCACGGCATTGCACATGCCGTAGAATACCAAAACTCTGGCTTCCATCAGCCGCAATGCCTCTCGCCCACCGCATCCTCCGTCGCGCTCGTCCTCCAAACCGCCGCTGACGCTGTCTCGCTCGCAGTCCGATCCTGTGACGTCCGCACAGTCCTCTGGCTCAGATCTCCCGGTCCCGCCGTTGTCTAGGAGGAACGGCAGGACCGGGAGAGACGACGATGTTGATGTTGATGATGATAATGACCATGGCAATGGCAATGGCAACGACCACGACCATGACGATGATGCAACCTCCTCTCCCTCGTCGACTGTCGTCCCGCCCTCTCCTGCGTCTTCTCGCTCGCCGTCTGTCCTATCCAACCTCTCTTCCTCTCATCACCACCATCATCACCACGATGATGACGATGATGACAACCGCCAAGACAACGACCCCCCTTCCTCAGACCGCGCAGCGCTGCATCCCCGCGTGGCCGTCATCCTAGGCGTCGACCGCAAGTGGTACGTGCCGCTGCTGGTCTGTCGCGCTCTGAGCGTCGTGCCAGCAGCCTGGTGGGGGTTGCGCTGTGCCTTCACCTTCCTGGCCGAGCTGCTGCGGATTCGCGTGGGCATGTGGCGTGAAGGATGGGCGGCCGCGATCGTGGGGAGCAGCCTGGCTGACTGGGATGTGGAACGGAGATTTCGAGTGACGGAGGTAGCGTTGGCGATTATGTGGGTATGTAAAAAATAATTGAATAATGATGCTTGGATTGTATGTACTGACGGAGGGTCCTCGCAGTGCTGTGCATCCGCGTACCTCTCTTACTTTTTCATGGACTGCATGATGTCTCGCTGGTTGGTGTTCTCCCACAGATATCCAATCCAAAGGTTAATGGATAGCATCTCATATTTACGACAACAGGCTCCTGAACTACAGTCCCCCGGCAGTGGTGATCCGCCTACTCGCAACCAACGGCCTCATCGCGTATCTGACCTCCTGGGTGTTGTATCTATCCGGCGCTTCGTCCGATCCACGACTCCTTCTGCCAGCCTGGATCTCCATCACGACGGTGCGTAACACTACACTGAAGAAACGAATCGGGGGGAAAAGACACTTGCTAATGTTACTCTATATTATATAGACCCTCACCTTCCTCTACCACGCCACCCAAAACCACGCCATGATCAAGCGCGAAACCACCGCCTCGCTCTCCGTCCTCTCCGTCGCCAGCTTCATCAGCATGTCCCTCCTGCTTCTCCAACTGCATCTGACGCGCGACAACGAGCCCGAGGTGCCGGCCTTTGTCATGGGTCAGAAACTCTGGGAGTGGATCACGGCCACCAGCAGTACTACCAGCACGTCTTCGTCCTCGTCTTCTTCGACATAAACATAAACATACATAGATAGATAGATAAGATATATCCCTGTCAGCGGTAGCGGGCTCTCCGATTATTTCTAGTTTTCTTTTTCCTGTCTTGTCCTTCATTTCCGTTTCTTACTTGCACTTTTATATTCCATCCATTTCCATTATTATACTACACGGTGAAAGGTGTTCGGGATCTACGGGCTGTATTTTCCTTTTAGCCACTGTTAGTTACGTTGGAATTTTTTTTTGTTTGTCCTTACTTTCTTCAGGGGTAGAATTCGACTCGTCAGATTACTGGGAAAGAAGAGATTGAGTTGCCGAAATGACTCTTATCTCGAAAATGACATTCAAGTGACCGTTATGACTAGAACAAGCTGCGATGCATAAGACCATCACGAAAACGAAAGAACGAAGGAAGTGACAAGTGAGAGACGAATTTGCTTGACATTCAGAGGAACAGCTGACTCAATACATCACCTGATCCACCCCCATCATGCCAGCAAACAAGCCTCAAATAACCCCCTCCGTGTAGAGCCCACCACGTTGCAAATCATGGTCCACACGGCTTGCCATCTTCCAGTTCCATCATAAAATGAATAACAGAAAAGAAAAAAAAAGAATCAATCAACAGTCTATGGGTATCTACAACGCCTCGTACCAGTCATTATCCCGTTCCCATTATAAACCAGTCAAAAGCAAAAAGAGAGCCGTTCCCCTCTACCTCCCTGCAGGTTGAAACAACAGGTAGGTGAGGTTCGTCTTGTATTTCGACTGATAGGCCCAAATCTACCCCGCCGACCGTAACCAGAGGGGGGTGAGAGAAGAAGAGAAGGCAAGAAGTTTATTTTGGCTGAAGATGTGATCCGGCGATGCCCGACCCTTAGAATCGACGGTCTAGGGCATCCCGCAGGATCGAGACAAACGACATGACTTCTATCGACCCCGCTGGGGGATAGATTTGGCGGGAGGGACCGGCACGGGCGTCGCGTCTGGCTTAGAACCCATGGACCTGCAGAGGCTGTGTTAGTTCACGTTCGCTGACGATGCTCATATGGGGGATGTAGCATACCTTGATGTTCTTGGCGTCGAGCTCGAGTCCTTCCTTCTTGTCACACAAGAATTCTTGAACATCCTTGCGCTGGTCGCCCTGCAGCTGGATCACCTCCCCCATCTCACTGTCGTGGACAATGGTACCATTGCAGGCTGCAGCCTGTCAGAAAGCCGCTCGCACACAGCAATACCGTAGTCAAGTATACATACCGAACTTCTTCTTGATCACTTTCAGGATCTTCTTCTGATCAAACTTCTTCGGAAGGCCCTGGACGGTGGTCAAGGTCTTCCGACCATTGCGCTCTGCAAGCAGAGTTAGCCTCAGTTCCCTGACAGGCGGTCTGGAGCACGGCAATAGTGATGAAGAAGAGGAAGACAAGGGCAAACGTACGTTGAATGCGTATGTGTATGTAGTTCTGAGACTGCTTAGACTCGCCGGTGTCTTCGTCAGCTTCGGCGAAGGGGTCTGTGATGTGTGGAGGATCGGTCAGCCTCAGTTCAAACTTAAAAAACTACCCCGCTCCCCACGGACAGGGCGATCACGAGGGACAGCTTGGATTGACGTCCCCAGCTCTCGCAATGGTGCAACAACGCCAAAATCGACGACGAGCGTCGATACTGGTAAAGGCATGCTTTACCAGCTCGATGGTGTTGAGCACCGCGGACAGGGGGCAGCGGAGTCGGGGCGGTGGCGAGAGCGACTTACCGAAAGTCTTAAGGTTTTCGATGGACATAAACTCGCTTTTTTCTCTGAGAACCTTCCTAAAAAAGGGTTGTAGATAGAAGATCGACGGTGAGGAGCGAAGTCGCGGTAGAACGTAGGCTCAGAGCGCAGGAAGAAGGGCGTGCAGCGGTGCAGGTACAGCGACGAGCGGTGGTGGAAGAGAGGAGACAGTCTGGAGAGTTGCAGAGGAGGACGTAACTATTTTAGTACCCGTAGCGAGGCAGGAGGGAGCCTAAGACGTGTCGAGGGGCGAATCCACCCGACCAACGAGACGGCGCTCCGCCTTGGCTGGCGATGACTCAGCAGGGTGGCCAACGCGCTCACTGGCCAACAGCGGGCGTGCAAGTCTCTGGCACTTTCTACGGCGCGATCGATCGCTTTGTCTATGGGTTGATTTCTTTGCCATGCTCCAGTCCAGATGCCAGTCTGTCTCATCGTGAGACGCTGGCCAATACTGCCCTTGCCAACGTCTTTGAATTCGAACCGCAGCCGCCAGTCAAGGCAAAGCGACTAGTAATGGATTACCAAAGCGACTAGTAATGGATTACCACAACAGGAATCACCACCAGCACAGCCGCCGAGATAGCGCCCAGCCCGGTCTACGTCAGTTTCGCCCAATTGTGCATACCGCCAGTTTATGCATCTGAATCTGCTCTTTGATGGAAGAAGAAAAAGAAGAGAGATAGAGTGGTCAGCGAGAAAACAAAGGAAGGACGAAGATGAAGCCAAAGCTGGGATCTACAGTTGGACATGGCTATTGTACTCCGTACCGGATCCGTATAGTGAGAACGAACGTACGGAGTAGAGATGGCAATGTCTATGGTTTCCAGATGCCGAACAGAGATGTAGGCGCCGGCTGCCGCATTGCCCATTAACCGCAATCAATTCGACGGTCGCTCTCTATCCCAGCCATAGTTTAGAATTACAATATAAGATACAGTAATTAGAGTATGGTATCACTTCTGTGACGTTCGATATCTCGCACATTAATTGTGAACCTTCTCATTTGTTTCCTCCTATCACCATGCCAGAGGAATCAATTCTCATGGTGACGGGGACGGCGACGGAACAGTTGTGCTGTTTGTTCCTCGAACTGGCGGTGGAGGGAGGAAGAGAGGCATGTAGGTCTGGAGCACACGAAGTTAGGAAAACAATCTGTACATCCGGAAGTTGGAAGGCTCAAGGAAACGTACAACCGCCACGGCCATCACTAGGGAGTTCAAATTGCTGTTAGCGCTCGGTTCTTGTTACCTGTATACGACCAGCAGACTTACAGGACATGAACACAGACATATACCCAGGCGTGCTTGCTGTCCTCTTCTGCTCTGGCGTCTCCGCAAGCCAGTTCTGGAGAGCAAAGATAAAAGAAACCCTATCGACAATGGTGTAAGCACAACCATTCTGTCTTCCACCTGGAGGTAAACACGTCTCTTGCGACCTACCAGCCGATCATGCTACGCATGGGTTGCAATGAGTCAACGGATTCCTTCAGATTATGATTCGCTCGACTCACCGGTTCCTGGTGAACATCTGGCATCCAGTCAGCACCCAGACATGCTCTTGACCCCTCAGTGGCTAGGTGGTCACTTACCGCTGCCATGGGCAAGGTGGACGTCATAGCACCTGGAGATACCATCAACGACTGATTCGATTCACCAATGTCGGTATGCAGAACCATTCGTACCTGACACATCGGCCTCATTCTTATCCCTGGGCGGATCAACATAGGGAATGACTAGAACCGCGAAGTGCAAGTGTCAGTCAGGATAGCTCTGTGAAGCGTGCATCACATGGAGCGCACGCAGGAAAATGACTTGATCCGAGTCAACGGGGGAAAAGACAGAGGCAACGTACCGAGATCCGCCCTGCGCATGTCCTTTTTGGATGCCATTGTGAATAATTAGCTTGAGAAACAACTAACTATCCACCTGCGCAGATGCGAGTTCGACGGGACGGCAACTCCAGGTTAGCTCGGGGAGATCTGGAATCCTCCACAAGTGCTGGCGCTTAACCATTCCTAGCCGGGCCGGGGACGGAGAGCTCCGCTTCTCGTACCCAACCACCAGCGTTGTACCTATTCTCTCGTCTTGTTGGTGACATGAAATTAGAGCATTGTCTTCCTCTCTGTTGCGGTATTTGAAACCAAGGAATATAGCTCTGGATTTTGGATGATCCAGACACGCAGATGGTTCTAAGGCACAACCATCGCCATGGATGATGACTGAGGTGTGTGCTGCACCATGTCAGGGGCTTATTTTTTTTTCTCCAGATCCGCTTCAGAACAGGTGGTTTATCCCAAGATTACATCTACTCCGGAGTACTGTCTTCTGCAGTGAGACTTCAGATTGGAGGAAAAATATGTGTTGGACGGAACTCTTGAGTGGTGCGATTTCCTTGCATCCAGTCTTACTTGTTCCTAGCACTTGAAAATATCGCTAAGAACCACGGAGAAGGCTCCGCAATTAAGGTGAATTGAACTCATTGTCGATGCGTTGGATCCAGCCAGTCATGCTCCGTAGGATCCGGGGGTGTTATTCGCTATCAGCCACCTACCTGGACACTGAAGTGTCCTTGATAGACCACCTGTCAGGTGCTCCGAGTGCATTTTGGGTTAGGCGAAGCGAAAGGATAATCATGTTACCCAAAATCTGAGAGATGCCAGGCTGGCTGAACGGTAACCTGTTGAATCCAAACCTGACATCCAGTAGCATAGTTGAACCTCCATATAGCTAGGCCTTTCAGGGTGAAATGAATTATTTAGTCGCCCTCAATTTTGCTCACGGTCATCCTGGGTGTTAGGTGCCAAATCGGCGATCGAGTGAGCAGGCGATATCGACTTGGACTGTCCGGATTGGAACGGATCCTGTTTGTCGGCTTATCTGCAGTGACAGGCACATCCCTCAATCAGACCCCAAAGGAAGGGCCTGTGGCCATGATCCACTTTAGAGTGCCCATGATGAATGATGCGTGATAGATGATGCCATTTGACCAACGATCATACGGAGGACGAGTCCGTACGGCCCCTGCGTACGAAGGACGGAGGACTCTGGAACAGTAGCCAGGTGTCTCAACATCACTAGAGGCCACACTAGGTTTGACAAGAGCGGGTGTTGCACCCATGCATGGGTAGACCGCCACAAAAATGTGGGGTTCTCTCGTGATGATAGTAGTAGCGAGCCTAAAGTTGATCCGTCATAGAGAACAAGGCCAACCAGCGGAATCGCTAATGCACACCACGGAAGCGTGCATTGTGCGGCACAGAAATTGTGCATCGAAGGAAGGGCCCTGAACCCCGTCTGGGAGCGAGATCGCCTATTCGAACGCAGATGTGGAACATTCGGGGAAACGAACGGAGGGCCCGAGCAATGAGATGATTCAGCCCGGCTGCAAGTCGAAGGCGCAGGTGAGAGTGGGCTAAGTGGACGCTGAGAGGCGAAATCCGTGCGGGATTGACTGCTCCGTCCCTAGATTGCTACGACGGAATACGGCCGGGTGGAGCCTCGCATGCCCAACCTTGGAAAAGGCCTTGTTCTCGCGCCGATCTGCCGAGATTTGATAATGTCAATGGCAACTGACCACTTCCTGCTGTGCGATGGGATGACGGACAAACATGGATGTGCAAATACAGCCTGTGCTGACTAAAGGAGTCGTTCTCGTTGCCGTCTTTGTTCTCGAAGCGACGGCCCGATGACCAGGCCTGGCTGGGTGACAAGATCTGGGAGACACGCCTGGTCGCGGCCAGCATCGTGGTCTCAGGCCCGAGAGATAAGCTAATCAGGCGATTGCTAATCAGGTCGTTCTGCGTGCGCAGTTATGCCCGTGCTGGCCTGCCATGTCGACGATAAGTCCGAGGAGAAGAGTCCGTCCTCCGTGATGCCTGGCTGCATCGTCACGCGCTGTCATATTACGTCACAATACACCGCACTCTCGAGCTGTGACGGGCACTGGGCGGTAATTATACGATACGGTACGGTCAGCGCGGCGGCCGCTAAGCAGAAGCCGGAAGGCGCACCCACAGCCCGGCGCCGGGTGTTCTCGTCACCCCATATTCCAGCTGCTGTTATTTACCGCCAGCACTGGGCACCGCATTCCAACCCTATCACGTCTGCTGCCTTCAACTCCCCCTTTACCCGCTTTGTATATTCCTCTCGACGTGCTTTGGACTTGATGTCCAAAGCCCTTCATCTGTATATCTTCAGGTTACGCATTCAGTATATCTCATCCTATTTCCGGCCTTTTCTTTGCGCAGCCTTCGTCGCTTTCATCCGTTCGCTAGCCCCCTCCCAGCTCTCGCAAGCAGCCCTAACGGACCAGCCAGAGAGGACTCGTTGACGGGATCATTTCGTATACCACCGGGTGGTACTTCAGAGGAACGCCGGAACGCTCCCTAATCCATTTCGCGACGTTCAATCGCTCCAATGCCCTGACGTTCAGCGTTCGGAGAGACGCCATGCCTCCGATGTGCCTGCGATGATACCGCATTCTTCAAGTGGCGTCCAACCCTGGGTAAATCAGTCCCGTATCCCCAGTGGAAGCAGGGCCGGGGACTCAACGGGCTCAGTCGCCCTGAGCTCCGCTGCTTTGCCGGACAAGCCGTCAATGGCGGCTGCTCCGCCGAACGGGCACCAGACAGTGATCGACTTGACTAGCAACGACTCTACTACCCCAGAAAGCGAACATCCCAGCAAAAGACCGAGGTTGGATACCAATGTGTCGGGGCCGGCTGGGGATGGCAAGACTCGGAGCGCGGAGTTGCGGAGTGCTTCAGCAAGTGGAACACCTCGACCTGCGACCGTCCCAGGCCGTGGACGACCAGCATGCTCATTCCAAGAGCTGGTGTCTGAGACGTACGGTGCAGGGTTCTCTTCTGGCAATTTGACCCCGGGGTCGCAGACAACAAAGCCTGCATCTCCGCCTCCATTCCCAATCCGTCCTTGGAAGTACGCTTCTTCGCAGCAGTCAGGGTCTGGAACTGCCGTAGCAAATGAAAGCACGCCTGAACGGGAAGTCCAGACCACGCCGTACCGTTTGGAAGTCCCATCGATTGCACCTATTCTGAAAGGCGACAGTAAGTCTTCGTTCTTTCAACTCGGTTGCCTACGAAATCATAGATGGTTGACTCGAATCTCGTAACAGAATTTGCCGACTTCTCTCCCTGGACCGGAAATCATCCCGAGGATCTCTTGAGCGAGCAGACGACAAAGCAGGGGCATTACGACCGCACACAGGTATCACAGAATGAATCAAATACCGCACGACCGTCTCTGTATGCACAACTGAAGCATCGCTCCGGTTTGCAAGTGCTGTCATCTGTCTTTGCTGCCGCTCTCGAGAAGAGACAAGCCCATAACAAGGTCGCTTCGGCGTCGACTTTCAAGCCGCCCCCACGGGTTACATTGACCGACAACAAGAGAGAAGCCTGGTTGCGAGACCTGGCCAATCCATCTGTTCCATTGCGAAGACTGAGTCGCACCATCCCGCACGGAATTCGTGGCAAGGTGCTTCTTGACCAATGTCTGAGCAAATGGATCCCCATTGGAAGGGCCGTCTGGTTGGCAAAGTGCGTGGGAGCTAATGAGATTCGGGCCTTCAAGAGAAAAGGAACGAGCGGGTCATTGGCCCTCGGGCTCGAGGTGAAATGGGTCCGGGATTGGACCACCGCCGTGCAGCAGTTCCTTGAAGGAGTGGTCAGTTCTTGTGGGAAGGAGGACTGGAAAATGAAAATGACCTACTCGTACGTCTTCACAGCTGTTTTTCAGCGATGACAAACACGGCTCGCTAACCAGTTCACAGGGTGAGACTTACGGCCCGATTATTCTTCGAGAACCTGCTTGATCAAGACTGCTATCTCGATTGGTATCTCTCCTCGCTCGAAAATGCCACGTTGGATACTCTGCCAATCTGGCTCTTGATGCTCGGGATTTACTGGGACCATCTGGTGCGATTCCGGAAACGAGCGCGACGGCTGGTGGAGCTTTTGCTCGAAAAGCTCCGGCAAGTAAGTGCTGCCATCCGGTTGTTCTTAATTGATTGCTCTTTGACTAATGGCTAAATCCTGTCTCAGGCGATCACCACGGAGCCTAAGGAACTCTTTCGACCGCTGGTCGATCGAGTTTCCGTCTTGGTTCGACGACTGTGTCGTGAACAGACCTCATCCGTCGTTCTTCCTCGATCATGGGACCGCTATCACGATGTTGTCTCGTCCTGCCTGCATCTGGATGACCCTACAGAAAACAGCATCCTGCAATCCCTTCATACTCGTAATGCGCGTGTTCGGCAAGCGAAAGATTGGCGCAAAGCTGCTCAGCGCTCGCCGCAGCAACAGGTTATCCAACTGTTAGATGCTGCTCGTTCAGCCCATGACGTGTCCGCACTGTCTGATGCATGTCTGGGCACTATGGCTGACCGGGAAGCGTTGGTCTCTGAACTTCTTGAATGGACGGGAACCCCCTTTCGTGAAGGTCTCGTTCGTGTATACATCGCCGTCCGCCTGCTACGGAAATGGAAACGGCTGGGAATTGATGTCGACGCTCATATCTTTTCATTCCTGGCCAAGTCTCGCGACAAGTTCAGGCTGCAAATGGCAAACATTTATCATGTTGTGGTCGAATTGGTCCGCTCACAAACATTTTCTGTCGGCAGGTATCTGCAGTGGCTGGTTGCGAGAGGTGCCATTGAGAGATACCGACAGCAAGAACTTCAACGAGCATCGTCTGAAGGCGAATATGGCAGCACGTCTCAGTCATCCACCACGACTTCTCTTCCGGGTGATATTGAGCTGCTTTCTCAGCTTCCAGTCAGTCGGCTACCGCAGCATTTGCGGAATCTTCGAGACACCCTTCTGGCTCGTGCCGGTCTGAGCCTGTCGGAAGAGGATGTGACAAGAACAGTCAAAGCCGACATCAAACAACGGCTTCCGGCGGTATTCAGAACGGAGCTCAGCGAAGATGATGCGATGGTCTGCCATACCGACCCTAGCCATCTGAGCTGGTCAGTTAAATCTGAGATTGGCCAATGGGTTCGACGCGGTGTCTCCGAGCATTACAAGGATGGCTCTCAGTACGTCTTCCCTGCTATTTTCTTAATTCTGACGCAATTTCTAACCGTATCTAGGTTTGTCGCTGACAAGAGTTCTGCAAGTTCGGTGGAAATTTCTTCCTTGACTCCTGACGAGTTCTTCACGGTCAGGAGTACGCTCGAAAACTTTGGAGACCTGTCGATGCTTGCGGATGTGCTAAGTGACGCTGCCAACTCGGATGATGTTCTTGTCCTCGCCTCGGCGGTTGACACTGCGAATCGCCACTTTGACTGCTTCTCGGTCATCGGCGCGTTGAATGACCTCTTCAAAAGTTTCTTCGAGGCCTTCGCCCGCGTGAAACAAAGCGGCCTACCGCTTTACGACCTGGTTTTCTCGCTCGTCGAACTTGGGCACCGTCTCCCCAATGAGGTCAACGCCGTTGTCGTCTTGCGCCAAGAGCTGGCAAGGGCAGATCGTAAGTTCGCGATGGTAGCGTCTTCTCCAGTGTCCGATCACATGGCCGAAACTTTGAACGACACCAATCCATCATTCAACGATGATCTGGAGCAGTTTTTGTCATCTGGGAACAGCATGGATGAGAATACGCTGGCCATGGTATTCCAGAAATTGTCTCAGCAGCTTGAGCTCTGTGACGATCAGGGAAAATTCTCAACCAGCACCATTTGCAGATATCTGGTCCAGCTGAGATCATTCAATCCAAAGCATTTTGATCTCTTGCTGATCCGGTGGATTGAGGGGTTGTTGAAATCATCCACCCGGCCGAAGCTTTCCAACATCCTCGCTCCCCTCGTTGGCGTTGGATGCGTGACACTACCCGCTTTCTCTGCCATGATGAAGAAGCTAATGCTGTCTGAGTCGACCCGGTCTGCCATTCCGCATTTGGCCGAGCTCCAGCTGGATTTGCTCGAACTCTTCGTTCCTGATGCCAACGGCCCGTCCGCGGATCTAGTAAGATTTAAGCGTACTACTTTGCTTCATATTTCACTGTTGCTGACTTGTTATCTAGCTTTCATACCGATTCCGGATGGCCCAGGAGGAGTTTTTGTCGAAGCATTCCGATGAGGCTCTCGGCATAATTCAGAATACTGCTGCATGTCTCGCCACGCAGGCGGCACAACCTGGCCTTGACAGCGTCCGAGCGTCCTTGGAGAACTACACAATACCTCTTCTCCGCCATCTTCTTGTTCGACACCCAGAATCTATCACTCAGCGTTGCGTACATACTCTTCTAGAACACTATCCGGCTACCGTCGATGTTGTTCGGCGGACATTGAACCTACTGTTGGGTTTCAATGCACAACCAGGTTTGTCATGCGTGCTCCTATATGTTTGCCAGGTGATTTCTTGGTCTAATCGTTTTACAGGGGAGAATAATACCCTCGCTGAGGCAGAGGAGGCGATCAACATGACTAACAATTTCTCCTTGCCGTTTTGCCAACTGAAGCTACAGTTACTCTTCAACATGGAAGGCGGAGAAGAGGTTAAGAGCGGTATTGTGGATATCATGTTCAAAGCCGCTGTAGCTGACGTTCGGGCTGGACAAACCTACTGGCTTGACTTGGTGGCCTTGATGAGCCAAGACGCAGTGCAGCAGATTCGACAACGTGCCGAGAAAGGATTCTTTTCCGTTGCACAATCGGATAGCTCGCTCGAGGGGGACTCGCCAGTTGAACGGAGCAATTTGCGGGAAACAGCCCGAGTCTATCTCACGATCATCGATGGACTGGCCTACAGTATTCCGGAAGTCGGGGTGCCGTCTGTGACCCCTCTTCTGGTTGAAAAGATGAATTCCCTGCTTCAAAGACTTGTCCAGACGCAGATCAATATTCGAAGCCTCAGTGAGAATCGTAATGGCACGATGGCGGACCAGGTTGCCCGCTCACTGTCTGTCTGCGAGGAAAACTTTATCTTCTGGTTTACAGCCATGCTGCGTATGATCACCATCCATCGGGCTGCTTTTGACGCACCGGCGCCGTCTGCATCCCAGAGACCTAATTCTCTATTGGATCAATCTCGCCTGCTGATCACGATCTTCTGCATTGCTCTATCGCGGTCTCCATTGGGTATGGCGTCTCACCCGCATGCTGGAATATGTCCGTCGCCATCCACGACATCTGCACAGCAATCTCGCGCTGGTAATTCCCTACAGACCTACGCTCTTGATGTTGCAGCATCTCTCATCGACACACTTCCCGACGATGCTCGCCAGCAGTGCGCCCGTTTCCTCCGGGAACGGTGCCCACCATTCCTCCACGTTCATAATGAGCCTCGGTTAATGTATCTTCTTGGTCCTGTTCCAGATTTCTCGACCACTTCGTCCTCGCAGCCGGTCTCTGCTCCGTCTCCAGCCACCTCTGGACCAACATCGTCTTTGACGCCTACCGCAACTCCTGCGAGCGGATCCTCTTCAATTCCGCCGTCCACTAATGCGGGCAGTATGGTGCCCACTGGACCAGTCGAAGATCCCAACTCCCTGGCCAATCGTCTTCGTATCCAGCATCGTGGGCGTGTGGTCGGTCCATACCCTCTGCGTCCATGGGAGATGCTGGAAGAAGCAGCCCCTGTCGCTGGGGTGAACGACACAGCTGTCGATCTCGGCTACTTTGGTGCCAGGAGAGTGCGAGATTAACTGGTCGTTATTATCTCCGCTATGCCATTGAATCTTCTCTCATCTACTCTACCTATCAACTTTATGTCTGTATTTTTTTTATTATTTTTCATTTTTATTTTTTTTTTCGTTGTAACCTTACGGAGAACTGCATTGCATCATTTCTGCATGGGTCTGATGTGATGGATGTTACATATACTTTCCCAGCTGGGACGGGAATCAAAACTCTCCGCTTGACGTGGCAGTCTTCAGTCTTGACGATTCTGATTTCTTCGATGTATATTGCATTGCATGTGTTCATGCAGTGGTTGGGTGTACCCGGAGTTTTGGCCTTGGTTTGTTCTTCAGGGTGGTGGACGGGTCATCTGGTTGTATGTATATACTTCATAGCATGACTGGCGCAGCGTTAGATGGTTCAGGCATATATTATTATTTGAATAAATACGGTACATAAAAAAGACAGAATCACATTCATTTCCATGTGTACATACATTTAAGATTTATCATAAAACACAACTACTGAAGTGCCAGGTCTGCTCAGCCCTAGCCCTAGCCCTAACCCTATGCCTTCGTGTCGACTCTTCTAGCGCTCAGTTATAAGCTTCATTGGAAGCTACACTTTAATAGTAACCTTATCATGTTACTGTTGACTCATAGCCAGTGATAATACTCCGTGATCCGTACACTGTTATCATCGGAACTCCACGGTGGATGTCTGTCCTTCGGATCCCGGGAACGCCGAGCGCGAAGTGACGCTCTAACTTTTTTTCGACGGGTTTCTCCACTTCTCCAGCATTGATGTAACTAGGTACCTACCTAACTACTAGGCACGCAGCCAGTACGAAGTATTAATACATTTTACGCTCAGGTACCTTGGGCTAATGCTAAGATGTTTCTTCTTATTTGCTTGCAATCAAGAGATTGCCTCCTCCCTACTCCGTACTCCTACCCAATGAGACACGGGTGTAACGCGAGTCATCCAAACAGAGAAAGTTCTTTGTAACGGCTTTGTTCAGCTGTCCAGTTTCCAGTTGCCGATTCTGTGGAGTCATTCATACCCATATCCACACCGACTGACTTCCATGTCCTTATCATTGGCCCTCCCGCTGCTCCAGTGCTCGTGAGTGAGCTGTTTCGCTTCTGACCATGGCTCCCCCCATGGAATGCATCGCCTGGAGCACCATGGCTTCTCCTCCCCTGGGATTGAAATACAGAGCGAGTAGCTGGTTCGCTGTGTTGACTGTCACGTGTGCTGTGTTTACCGACGTAAGTCCTCGCTACCTAGACATATAGACTACCTGGCTGACTTGCTTGCTTGCTTAGATCTTCCTCTACGGCGTCATTGTCCCTGTCATCCCGTTTGCGTTGGAGCAGAGGGCTCATGCTGATCCGGGGAGAGGTAACCACACCACAATGCGTTCTTGTGCATGCTCGAATGAATATGAAAGAATTGATTGAGGTCAGTTTATTGTTCATTCATGGCTAACTATTTTGACAGTGCAGTATTGGGTCTCTATTCTCCTTGCTGTCTATGGAGCTGGTCTCCTGGTCTTTTCTCGTAAGTATTACAGTTGCCAACAGATGATGTCCAGGCTGACGAACGATTATTACAGCCATCTGCGGCTGGTTCTCTGACCGCATCTCTGCCCGCCGCTGGCCGCTCCTACTCGGTCTGATCGCGTTGACCGGCGCGACGGTCATGCTCAATGTCGGCACCAGCATCGCCGTCCTCGTCGTCGGCCGTCTGCTGCAGGGCATCTCTGCCGCCGTGGTCTGGGTCGTGGGTCTTGCGCTGCTGGTCGACACGATCGAGGAGAACCGTCTGGGCCAGTACATGGGCTACGTCAGTCTGGGCATGAGCCTGGGCCTGCTGATTGCGCCGTTGCTCGGCGGCGTGGTCTTCCAGCGCGCCGGGTACAATGCCGTCTTTGCCATTTGCTACGCCTTCATCGTGCTGGACTTTCTCTTCCGCATCTTCTTCATCGAGAAGAAAGATGCGATGAAATGGCTGGATCAGCCCGGTAGTACGGCTACGGCTACGACTACGGCTGCGGCTACGTGTCCAGCGACTGACCTTGCTGACGATGTCACCTCTACGGTTATCACTACGACCTCCTCCGTGCCGGAGGAATCGTCCGAGGCGCGCCGTATACACGCCTCCGGGTGCGAAGACAGGGAGAAAGGAAGCAGCACGTCTGCCCGACCAACAAGGCACGAAAACAGAACCGTGAATGACGACAGCACCGTCGAGGTGAAAAAATCCCGTCTCCCGGCCTTCGTCACCCTGCTCGCCTCGCGCCGTCTCCTGGCGTCGCTGTTCGCGTGCCTCGTCGAAGCCGCGCTCATCGCGTCCTTCGACTCCGTCCTCCCGCTCTTCGTCTACCAGACCTTCCACTGGTACTCGCTGCAGGCGGGCATTCTGTACCTAGCCATCGTCATCCCGTCCTTCGTCTCGCCCGTCGTCGGCTACCTGTGCGACCGGTACGGCCCGCGCTGGCTGGCGACAGCCGGGTTCGTGTGCGCGGCACCACTCTTCGTCCTTCTCCGCCTGGTGAACCACAACTCGACGGGGCAGAAGGTGCTGCTCGCCGCGCTGCTCGCCCTGATCGGCCTCGCCCTGACATCTACCTTCCAGCCCCTCATGGCGGAAATCTCCTACGTCGTCTCCGCAAAGGAGAAGGCCCGCCCGGGGGCATACGGCAAGGGCGGTGCCTACGCGCAGGCGTACGGCCTCTTCAACATGGCGTGGGCAGGGGGTGCCCTCGTCGGGCCCATCTGGGCGGGATTTATCGAGAAGCAGGCGGGCTGGGGCACGATGGCGTGGAGTCTGGGCCTGTTGAGTGGTCTCACGGCTATTCCGACAGCGATTTGGGTTGGGGGGTCGATTACGAGGAAGAAGGACTGACTAGCTGATTAGGAGGAATGAATGAGCATGATGATGCAGTCAGTGTGATGCTGCATGAAAAACAGCTTTCTTTACTTGTACAGGTTGATATCAATTCATGTCTATCAGTCAATACTTAAAGGGGGGAGATGGGAATAAGCAACAATCTCTCCACTCATCTCACCTTATCTCATCTCTCCATCGGGGTCAAAAAGAAAAGGGAAGGCATATCAATAACGGATGATAACGGATGTATGTACATACGTATGAACGGGAAAGAAAAATTACCACTACATTGCATAAAAAGATAAAAGATAGACAGAAATCGATGGAAAATATCCTCTCCACTCAAGGAAATTAGTTAGCAATTTTGCTATTATATTGTCTTGCTATGCATTCTTTCTTCTCCACGATCCGAGAGTTAAAAAAAAAGGTAAGCAGACAAGTGAAATATACACACTGAATAGAAAACAAACAAACGAAAAAAAAATCAAACCAATCCTGTTAACAGAACCAAACCATACTCGAACAGAGCCAGAAGACGGTATGTAATATGTGATATGTGTGTATGTATCCGGCAGTGCTCATTGTCCATTACGCAACAGAAAAAAAGACAATAAATAAATAAAGGAAAGAGAACCTATTTAATTGAAATGCGTACATGCCAAGTGTGTTCAATTGGGAATTGACCTTCCAGCGGCGGTATGGCGGGTGATAGGTAATAGCTATCATATCCTGTCCAGATTGGATAATCCCTGGCAGCAGCCACTCTTTTGTCCTCAGAACGACTGGCACGACTCGCCTATTAGTCGTCATCAAAGATCTGGAAGGTGTTCAACAGAACAGTCTCAATAACCCGCGCCTGCCACCCCGCATCGGCAATGTTTCCGCCCGAGTTGGCACCCATAAGAGTCGGCCTGTTCATGTTAGTCGCGAGTCCAAGATTCCACTGACGACGGTCGACTCACCCAAAGCAGATCGCCAGATTACCAGCATTCATCCGGTTCTGAGGATAGTGTTCCTGCACCTTGTTGAGATGCTGGACGCAGTTAGTTCAAGTATCTATCTTATCTTAAGAAGGATGGCAACACACCAACACCAAGGCACACAAGGTCGCATAGTTGGGATCCGGCAGGTTATTGATAATTGCGTGCAACGTGTCCCGTCGTTGAACATCATTATCAATTCCTGAGTAGCGTTAATCACATGCACCTTGCATCACACTCATCTGGACACCTACGGGCAGCATTGATAAAATCTTGATAGTACTGGCGAGTGAACAACGGATCCGGCAACTCGCGGAAGAACTGCTTCAACAGTCCGGCGACGCTGTTGACGTCGTGGTAGAAGCTTTCCGGGTTGGTAAAGTCCACTTGGGACGAATCTGCTCACGTCAGTGGATGGTCATTAACAACATTTTAGGTCACCCACCGTTATCGAAGAGAGCTTTCATGTGGTTGATGTGGTTGGCGCTCCCCGACAGCCGGTAGATCCCCTCCACGTCAAGCCCAAAGAGTTCCACGGCCTGGATGCACTGGTAGACGATCATTGGTACCGCCGACCCGTCCCGCCGGTAGAGCTCCTCGAGGGACACACCGAAAACCGGGTTCAGCGGAGGCAGATTCGGCTGATATCCGTTCGTTGGCTGTAACACCGGTGAACGGCCCATCGGCGGCCCTGACGAGACCGGTTGCTGGAGCGGAGGCGGCGTCGGGTCCGTGGGATACGGTGGGTGATACGCCTGGTAGCCTTCGGAGCTAGGTTGGGGAGAGAACGACGGTGGAAGGGTCGACCCTTGACCGGCCTGCGGTGATGTCTGAGGAGGCGAGGTCGGACCCAAAGACTGCTGCGAAGGCATCGCGGCGTGCAGAGCAAGAGACTGGCGCTTGTTCTGGGTATTGGGCTGGGAGGGAGGCGCCGATGGAGCTGAGGCTGGCGCAAGAGTCTAAACGGGTCAGAAAGGATGCGAAACATAGGGATCGATCACAGTCTTACTGGATGAGGCGTGTATTGCACTTCCGGGGCAGCAACCGCGCCAGGGTTGCCCGCAAAGCTCAGAATATAGTCGTTGAAGTCCTTCTCGCTGTCGATCTGGTGGATCACTTCCCTCATGCTCTTCGACCCACTATTCAGCGGACTGACGCAGAGACCTTGGCCCAGAAGAAGCTTCTCGTTGAATGCCGCTGAAACAGGTCAGCCAGAAGTCACTCAGCTCATATAGTTCAGCGACATACCAAATTTCTGCAGCTGCAGAGTAAGGCCCGAGTCACACTCATAAATCAGACGCTGAAGATGGTGCACAGTCTGGGGACGATGGGTCGAGACCAGCTCCTGGCGGGCCGTCTGGGCAGCCTGCACTTTGGCTTGGTAATCGCTGTCCGCATTCTGGACCTTGCGATGGAGATCCTCCTCGTGCTGGGCGGCCGATTTGTGGCCCTTCAGCCCGAATTTCCCCGACTGCTTATCGCCAGTCCTGACGCGATCGTACTGCTCGGCCAGCGAGTCGTACTTGGCCTTGGCCTTCTCCACCTGGCTCTCAGCATCCTGGACCTTCTTCTCCGCGTTCAATCCGGTCTGCTTCCACTGCTTGCGACCCCGTTCGATGTTCGACGCCAGTTCCTGCAAATCCTCCGACATCTGCTGGAGAGAAACGGCGAACTGCAGGCCGTGGTCAGCCATGCGCTCCTGTATCCGATTGACCTCATCCTGGGCCCGACTGTAGGTTCCCTGGCGGTGATCGGACCGGTGCGTCGTCTCCTGCGACAGGCGGGCGAGTTTCTTCAGACCCTGCGCGTGTTCCTCCTCGAGGGCTGCTCGCTTCTTCAGGAAGGTTGCAAAGTCCTATCCATCAATCAGCCACGAAAGCTCGTCATCAAAAAAAGGTGGAAGGGTACCGACCCGTGCGGAGGCGATGCTCTGCTTTAGCCTGGCCAGCAGCGTTGTGATACCAATCTGAGCAATGCACCTTGTCAGTCACGGTTCATGTATGCCAATCGCACTGTCTGGCGATGAACATACCTCTGATTGCAAGACCCTGTCGATGCGTTCCTTGTCGGGGTCGGCAGCAGCTGTTTCGGGGCCTGTATTCTGGCCGGACGACGACTGCGGACGAACGCCTGCGGGAGACGCAGAGTCGTCCTGGGACGGCAGCGCAGGAGGTAATTGCGCGTCGGAAGAAGCGACCTCCGCCATGGCAGCAGCGAGTGTGATCTCAGAGGTCTTTTTTTGTGAAGCGTGGCGCGTAGATGGGAATGCTGGCTGCCTTGGGCGTCGGCGAGGTGATGGACGGTGCTTGGAGCGCTGTCCGCGCGGGCTGGCGGGCCCACTTGGCCCATGTGGCTGCACTAGCAACTGTAGCATCGCCAGCAGGTAGTTATTCTTAGCTTCATCACCAGCGATCGCCAGGTCAATGCCACAGCCCCCACGTCCCTGTCGCTGTGCTAGCTGGCATAATAAGGTTGGCCACCGCTGAAGCAGCCATCTCTGCTATCTCTATCCCACGCGTTCTCTCCTCTGCTGACTCATCAGACTGTATAGTTTTCTCTCGATGGACTTCAGTTGACTACAAGAAGACGAATGATCAAGGCCCGTTTCATTGACTACGCTGATCTTCTTAAATACAGTGCCCATGACCCATTTCAAGAAATCAGCGTTTCAGCATCCATTGCATATAATTGCCAGGGCAGATCCATCCTCGGAAGGAGTAGTGTTTAGAAAATGTTCAACTCAATGTCCCATGCACAGGAGAGACAAAGATTCCCCTGAAGCATGAAAACACATTTCAACCTCTTATCTTCAGTCAGACGTCGTGTAAGATATACTACAACCATCTGCCAGATCCTGCTGCGGGGGGCAGTGATCCATGTACACTCTCTGTCTCGTAAGGATCGTGTCATGATGCCAGCTGAGACTCGCCTAAAGATCTCTGTGTCGGGTACAATGAAAGGATCTCTGTGTTGGGTACAATGAAAGGCTGCTCGGGATCATGTGGACAGTCTTCACATATTCTGA